TATCAACCTAGAAATGGAAAGAACTACACAAGTTGCATACTAGAAGTTACACCGGAGTTGCGCAAAAAATTATTCGACAACAAAAGAATTTACTTAAGATACTCATCTTGTCGTTTCGCGGACCACATNAGAATAGTGCAATGCTACAAATGTTTTACTCTCGGACATATTGCCAAGAATTGCAAATCTGCAGTTGCCTGCGGGCACTGCTCTGGTTCGCATGAATTGAGAGAATGCAAAAACAGAGAGTTGCCTCCTAAGTGCTGTAACTGCAGCCGATATTCTAAAAATATGACAGGTAACGATGCACATTCCGCTTTTGACACAAAGAAATGTCCCATACTATGTAGCAAAATGAAGGAAAGAATCTCTAACATCAATTATGGATAGTTCACATATAGAATATGAGGATATTTGCATATGTCATGTTAACTATCAATCTCTAATAGCGCACTTTGATGAATTTAGTGACTTTTTTGTCGATTCTAAGTATCATGTAATTTGCTTGTCTGAAACCTGGCTGAAACCGGAGGTCTCTGATAGTATGATCGCACTTCCGGGTTACTCGATTCTCAGATGCGACAGAACTGGACGTAGGGGCGGAGGAGTTGGCATATATCTGCGCAGTTCCCTAGTTTGCGACATACTAAAACAGTCAACTATTGATGAAAACTTGCGCAAGCCAGAGTTTATTATAGCACGGATTAGTTCTGGTCCAACATCTGATCTCCTCTTGGCGGTCGTATATCGACCTCCTAACTGTGGATATATTCAAGAATTTCAAAATNCGTTCTTAGATCTGCATATAGGTTTTTGCCATTCAATGATCTTTGGCGATTTCAACACGGATATGACTGTTAGTACTTATGATAGCATGCAATTACTAAACTTCATTACATCTTCTAACTTACATCTCGTACCTTTTGGTGCAACGCATCACTTGAAAAATTCCAATACTTTCATAGACTTATGTATTATTGATGATGCATCCAAATTGAAAAATTTTAATACGATGGGAGTTCCATTTCTATCGGCGCATGACATGATTGAGGTGACGTATGATGTGTGTATCAAACGTCGCACTCCTAGAACAATAACATGCAGAAATTTCAGTGACTTCAACATGCAAAATTTTATATCAGACATATGTAAACATAACTGGATGGATCTCTTCACATCAACCAATATTGAGGATAAAGTCGACATTTTCAATAGTACTATGACTAATTATTTAAATAGACACGCACCTCTGAAAAGGATACAGTGTAGGAATTTACCAGCGCCGTGGCTTACTGCTGAGATTAGAGATGTCATGCGTGTAAGAAATAGATTAAGAAGAGTCTGGCGTAGAAGTAGAAATGTTGCAAGTTATGAGAGCTTCAAAACTATGAGAAATACCGTTCAGAATATTATCAGAACAGCTAAAAAGAATTATTATATGTCTATTTTTAACCAGAAGGACAATCCAAACACTATATGGAGCAAGCTAAGACATCTTGGACTCATCAGGGCAAAGAAAGTGAAACCTCTTGCTTGTACAGTCAATGATATTAATTTATTTTTTGCGAATAGTGTAGTCTCATTGGATAGTAGCTCCCCGGAATCAACATATGGGTTTTCTGATGACACCTTTGATGACAGCAAACTATTTTTCAAATATGTACTGCCGACGACTATCATGAAAGCTTTTGCCAGAATTAAATCCAATGCCACTGGTTCGGATGGCATATCAATAAAAATAATTAATTTGACACTGCCATACTTAACATCAGTGTTTGAAGACATTTTCAACAGTTCACTTATGTGTGGTAGTGTTCCTGCGATGTGGAAATTT